TTTTTTATATAATGTAAAATTCTGGTCTTTAGAATTTTTTCAAAAATTTTAGCAAAATTTGTTATCAAGCATATAGGTCGGTAATTAGTTACAATTTGTTTATCGCCGCTTTTGTACATGGGTTTTATAATGCCAATTTTAAATACCGCAGGGCAATGAGCTTCTTCAAAAATTGCATTAATTAGGTGTACCAGCGGTAGTGATATTTCTTCCTTGACTTTTTTCAGAAGTTCACCCTTTAAAAAATCATAACCGGGGGCTTTATGAGGTTTTATGGATTCTATAGTTTCAATATTCTCATTTTTAATTGTAGGTGAAAGGAAGATTGAAGAAGAAATTGTTTTTGGTTTAAGAGGACAATTTTTCGCGACTTTAATTTCATTTGCTAATTTGCTTCCTATTGTAGCGTAATGTTCATTAAAAATTTCAGCTATTTCAGTTTTGTTTTGTGTTATTGTTTCATCTGTTTTTAAAATTTTACTAATATTGTTTTGATTATTACCTCTAAAAATTTCATTAACACAGTTCCATAAATTTTTTGTATCCCTATTTTGATTGATTTTATGTTTGTAATAATAATTTTTTGTGATTTTTATTAAATTATTTAACGAATTTCTGTATGCAATATACTCCCTTTTTACATTTTCGTTTTCTAGATTAATTTTATAACGTTTGTATAATTTATCCCGAATTCCTATTGATTTCATTAAACCATTTGTAATCCAACTTTTTCGCATTACTTGTTTGTGTTTTTAATTTAACTTTTTTTGTGTTTTTATTAATAATGTCAATAAATATATTTGTAAAATATGTTGAGCAGATTTCTGGATCAATAATGTAATAGAATTGCGTCCAGTTAAAATTTCGTAGCTCAGATATTATTGAATTATAATCATGGTAATATTGAAATTTTTCTTCACTTGGGTTACTACTTGTTACTTCAATATCTACAGCAGCTAAAGTCATATAGTGATCAGTTATTGTTGTTTTTATTACAAATGCTACATTGTATGGTATTTGTGGTATTGATTTTAGTAATATATGGTCCAAGCAAGTATTGCTATCTGGCCTTGTGACACTGTTTATGGTAGAATGAAAACCGTGTTCATATACATCATTTAAATATTCACTGGAATTTATATCTTCCTCTAGAACGTTGATATTAAAATCACCTGCAATTATGTTATGATATGTTTTTTGTAAATAAATTTCTTGTACATACTGTTTAAAATCAATAATAAAATCTTTTATTTCTATATCGTGAGACCTATATAGTGCTGTTAAAAGTATTATATTTTTTGAAAAAATATTTAAATTTGTATAGCCTTGCATCGACCAATATTAACTATTTCACATGAATAATTTAAATAATTTCTTAAATACACTACAACTCCATGCCCTCGTCTTTAAGATACATGTTTACATATCTCGAATCAGGCGCGAAATGAACCTGTTATTGTGAAGTGAAATATAAAACATTTTATTTATTTGTTTTCATTTCATTTCATACCAAATTATTATTACACGTCTTTAGATATTACTATATTTCTATGGTAATTAAAAATCACTATTACAATTAGATTATGTCATTAAAAAAAAATGAGATGATATTCTGGGTTTCAAGTTATATGGTATCTCTTATCACACTTCTAAAAAGCTAAAAGTTTCAGGAAGGCCATCATGATGAATTGAGTAGGTAATTTAGTTTATCTATAGCCATTTTCCTGACGATTACATTTGATTTGTCGAGGCGTCGAGGTTTTGAGAAACGACAAATAATAAAATGAGTGCCAATAATCCAAATGGGGGTATTTTCGACAGTTCTATTAAACGTTTACTTTGATCCGTTATCAACCTTTTTAAATTCATGAAACATTTTTTTTTATTTTACACTATTGAAATAAAGGAACTCAGTGCACTACTGAAAACGATCCTAATTATTAAGTTTATATTGCGTATGTGAACAAATTTTAAGATGCTATTCCTTTTTAATTTGTTAGTTGCAAAAGGTTTCGCCTTAATGCGGCTATTGTGGGTTCTACCTTTTATTGTATCTCAGGGAAGAAAACGCTTAGTAAATAAACATTAAATAATAAAATAATATTTCTTGATTGATTAGGTTTATTTTTTTAGTAATCAACTCAAACGAAACTCAATAGATATGTACAAAGTAAATCAAAGGATAATTATAATCATCTATCTCCTGTTATAAAGGCACCCATATAATACAAATTATAAGAGATAAAAAGGGAGATAGATAAAAGTACCTCTAGTGTTGGCACTTCTGGCTAACAGCTAAATTTGATTGAATCAAGGGGCTTCATGCAATTATGGGTAAGTTTACATATATTTAACTTAGTTAAAAAAAAACTATAATAATTATCTATAATTTGTTCTATTGTAGGTAGTGACGTTGTTGGCCATAGACTAAATGGATCAATCCTACCTTACTAGTCCTGGGTACCTGGTAAGCTATAGCTTCTCTTATGGCCTCCTAGTGCTCCACATGCAAGTTATGGGGCTAATGATGAGTGCAAGCTAGCAGATGTGTCAGGCATGCAGTTAAGGATATGTTGATATCGTACAGTGTGGATTCGTGTACCTCTCTGGATGGTGTTGGTGATGTGTGCTCGTGATGTGTGTATGGTAAAAGCAGTAGTGCTAAGAAGCAGATCTCAAAGCGAAAGTGAAGTGAAAGCAAAGAGCGAGTGAAGTGAAAGCAAGTGTATAAGTAGGTATCTTACTTACTGGCCTGATAGTGTTGGGTGGCCACATGGATATTAAGTGATTTTAAGTGTTGTTTTTATTGAAAATAGATCCACAAAATAGCTGTGTAATTTTATATCTTCCAATAAAATATCTTTATTCCAATAGAACTCTACGAACTCTGTTTATGACTATTAAAATCCTTAAAATTGAGTTAGGACGCCGTCTTAGTAAGAGTCACAAAACAAAATGAAAGATCTTTCTCAAATATCCAGAAAAGTGCCTTGTCAGGATCAAAGTCCAAAATTAATTCATTAAAATGTTGTTCTTTTATTGCAAACACTCTAATAAAATATTTGTTTCCTACTATATTGACTTAGTTAATAATGGATAGATTCAAGGTCAAGGTCATAGTACCATTAGTACCACAGAACATAATATTGTTCTTTTGTTTTATGTATTCTAATAAATTCTATTTTCCTGTATTATGATGTTAATTAATAAAGGACAGACACATGGTCAAGGCCATGGTACCATTAATTTGCAGAATCTCATTATTTTGGTAAAAAGAGAGAAAAAAAAAAGGCAAAAACTTTTAAACAGATAAGAGGCAAATATCAGGTAAGTACCAGGGATTTCTATAAATTCTAAGGTGGATAACCTGATTAATTTTTGGGAAGGAAGAAAAGAAAAAAAAATAATTTTATAATTAAATGACAACCAAAACTATCGAAATAAATTATTTTTGTTAAACAAAAAAAAAGTCAAAGCTTTTAGAGATGTAAATATGGTTTTATATTAATAAATAATTTTAATTTACAAAATATATTTGATTTTGAATATGAAGAATTATAATCCAAAAAGGTATATTTATATTTTATTAAATTTATATTTAAATTATTATTCTAAAGATTTATTTATGGGTATAAAATTAAAAACAAGCGGTATTATTTTTAAAACCGTAACACATTTTTAAGCAAATAGTTCATGTAAACGTAGATCATTTGAATTCTGAAGATGTATTTTTAGATAACAGTGATTCCCACGAGTATTAAATACATAACATATCTATACAATAAGCTAGATTAAAAGTAATTTAAAAAAAAACTGCTTTAAAATCGTACAGATGCCATCATCACATCTTGACCAAATTTATATGGGACTACCCCTAAGGTACCCCTTTACTAACGAGAAAGAAACATAGAAATCGGACAAGGTGGTAAATAATTATGGCTAAACATACATAAAAAATTAAGAGTTTGAGGATTTTCTCATAAACCCAATTATTAGATTTTGACCAAACTTATTTGGGACCACCCTAGAGGTACCTTCTTACTACCAAAAAAAGAATCATCAAAATGGGACACTGTGTTAAAGTATTAATTCTAAACATACATACAAAAATATATCGACGAACCAGTGGCGGTTTGCCCGTAAGCGCACTTGGGCATGTGCCCTAGTTATAAACCTATTATTATTTTATCTAATATTCAGCACAAACCGCGTTGGCATGACACTGGACGACCGGGCGTTGAGCGACGTTCCAGGAATTCCTAAATTAAGTGGAAGATAGGCACAGAGTACAGTAAATGTGTGCCTCTGTTGTTTTCTTTCTCATTATAACGCGAAAAACAAGGACAACGACAATACCGCTTAGCAAGAAATGACCAGATGCGGTGGATTATACGTCACAAGCGGGGCGCTGTCCTTATCGTAACTTGCTGTACCGATCGATTTGTTTGGTTTATTTGTTTACCATCAACTTAGCGCTGCCGGGTGGTTTTGCTTCTTGATATTTTAATGCCGTAAATTTCAGTAATCAGTTTAATAAGTGTAAAATATATGCTCAATGCTCAATATATTTACTGCTACGCGCACCAATTAAATCTAATAACTGAAAAGTGTTGCTCAATAGATAAGGCTATAAGAGTTTTTTTGCCAATCTCTCTGCATTTTCTGCTTATTTCTCCCGCTCTACAAAAAGAACAAGCGTTTCGGATTGGGTTGTAAAAAAACGGTTACCTCGTTCGGCTCCTACACGGTGGAATCTTACATCAAAGTGTATCAATTCTACTTATGTTTATAAAGAGGATTTAATTAAATGTCTCGAAGAAATTATGAACACAGAATTCGATAAAAAAACTAATAATCAGACTAAAGGATTGATAAATTTTTTGAAAGACATCGATTTTAATTTCTGGTTATTTTTCTTCAGCAAAATAATGCCAAATTGCGATATACTTTTTGATCAACTGCAGAGTAGATAGCTCGATGTTCTCAAGGTTAAGATAAACATGTCAAATTTTACAACAGCTATTCAAAATATTAGAAATAATATAGACACGGTAATTCATGAAGAATGGCAATCACAAGATCCACAAGAACTAAACTTAAACGACAACACCCAATCAGGTCCAAGTACAAGCAAGAAAAGACGGTTTGTTGAAAAGGAGGACCCCATTCCTAATTTAAGAACATGTAAAGAAATTTGTGATACAATAGTAGTGCAGGTAAATGAACGTTTTAGTTTTATTACCCACCTAACAATTGCAAGTTTATTTGATAGTGAACAATTTAAAGACTATCGAGGTTGTTTTCCAAATGAGGACGTTAAAACTGTGTGTAGTTTATTTCCAAACGTAAACAGCTTAAAATTAAAAAACGAACTGTCCATATTTTACACTCGAGATCACTTTGTGCAACACAATGGGGCCGTACCGTTATTACAAATGTTTTTTGAGAACAATTTGACAATTACATTTTCGGAATCTGTGGAGCTGCTAACTATCCTATATACAATTCCCATGACTACAGTGAAGAGTGAAAGATGATTTTCAAAACTAAAACGTATTAAAACTTTTTTTAAGGAACACTATGTGCCAAGATAGATTGTGCGCGTTATCCATCGAAAAAAAACTTATTCGGTCCATTCCAAATTTTAATAATCTGGTCATCGATCACTTCGCTAGCCAAAAATCCAGAAGAAATGTACTTCAACTATAAGAAATCGTATACAACTGCAGCGGTACCTAGCAGTAAGTTTTTAATTTTGTAATATTTAATTTTTTTTTTTTAATATATTTAATTTTCATTAAGCGGAAAACTTGTTTTCCTAAGAAAAAAACGAATCCCGGGATTCCTTTCCAGTGTATGTCCCACTGCCGCCACTGCGACGAACTAAGAACCTCCTCCTTTTTAGAAGTCAGTTAAAAATAAGAGTTTTTTGAATAAGTAATTCGTTTGATTATTGTGCTATTTTCAATTAAAAATTTTATATTTTTTATGTAATAATGTTTCTTTCTGTACACAGCTGTTTGTGCTCATAATTTCCTTTTACTCTCTCTATCTCTCTCACGTATATATCGGTTGTTACTCTTGCCTCTCATAAAATAAAACGTATATTCCGTTTGGTTTTATCCTTTCTCCTTGTATATTAAAATATAAGTGATAAAAAGAGAAGTTTCAGGTTAAAATGTTTCTTGCTAAATCGTTCTCATTTTGTTATGGTTTCTAAGAAAGTTATATTCTTTAATGAGCGAAAAAAAAAATAATATTATTTTTTACTATATAATACTTACGAAAAGTTGTCTTTACATATATTAAGCTATTTTCTGAAATTTTAATTAAAAAAAAATGTCTTCAGGGCTCTACCTCCTATCCAAAATTAAAAAAAAAAAATTTAACTTTTGATACAAACTAAAAGTTATTTTTACTTATAGTAAACTATTTCCTAAAATTTCAGTTAAAAATAAATATGTCTTCAGGTCTCTACCTTTCATCAAATTGAAAATAAAATACATACAATTTTAGTAAAAAACATAAACCAAATGCACCTATTCACAAGTGCCTATCATCAAACTTTTACATTAATAAAAAATCCAGAAAATCCCAAACAAATCAACTAAAATCCAAAGCAGAAAGAAAAACTAAGATCAAGGCGTATGCAAATCAGCTTCCTTTTAAGTTTGAAGTAGACAATGACAACATTAAAAACTTTGAAGGAGACAGTATTTCTTATTCATTTGAGTCTGAGATATCAGTAAAGCTTGAGAATTTGACAGAAAAACAAGAAGCTAAGTCGGAGCTTCCATCAACATCAAGTTAAAGTACAAGCCAGCAAATGAGATTGCCTATTCCCAATCTAGCTCATATTTCTGACCAATTTGGCATTTTAGACCGTTTTGCAGCAGCGCTTGCATCTGCTGTATTACAGAATTTGGGACTTATTTCGAAAGAAACATCGTCTTCAGTTATTGACCAAAGTAAGGTCCGAAGAGCTCGTCAAAAACACCGTTTGGATTTAAAAAGCAAATAACAAACATCCACTCCGGAGATTAGGGCATTAAAATTGAATGGAAGCAAGGATAAAACGGTGTGCCAGGAAGAAAAAAGAAACAAATTTTATTGCAAAATAAAAATCTAAGAACATATATTATTGCTCGAAGAACCAGGTTCAAAATATATGAGTCACATTACAACAACAACAACAGGTACGGGGAAACATATTGCATATCTATAGTTAATTTTCTACAAGAACTTGACATTAGTACAAATAAGCTTTTAGTATTAGGCTGCGATGGTACAACGGTTAATACAAGAAGGAAGAATTGAGTTTTGCGGCAATTAGAAATAAAACTGAAACGTCTTCTGCAGTAAATGATATGTCAGCTACATATAAATTTACTGCCTCTTCGTCATATTTTTCAATATCTTGACAGAGAAACTTCAGGACCTCGTGTATACTCTGAAGCTATAGGAAAAATGTTGGAATCTTACGAAAAATCGCTCGTTTTAAATTTTGTTCCTATTGTTAACCCTTTACCAGAATTAGACGCTGCAGCTATTAGGAATCTTAGCACTGATCAAAAGTACTTATATGAAATGTGTTACTCAATTTCTAGAAAAAACTGGTCATTAAATCTAGCAGCTCGTAATTCAGGTAAATTATCACACGCACGATGGCTTACAATTGCAAACCGTATATTGCGTCTTTATATCGGAAGTAAAAGTTTGTCTTCAAATTTAGGAACAATCGCTGAAAAAGAAAACCATCGTTTTGTGATGGAGGAAGACACGTCTTTAGAATGATACAGTTGTCACGCTACTTAAACAACGAATTGAAGGCAGTTATCGATCCTGTTATCAAACGAAATGCGTATTTTTGTCATCCGGAGAACCTTTTTATAGCAATACTTGCTGATGATCGTCCTGCGATAAGACAACTTGGCTTACGAAGAATATTCAAGGCGCGCACAAAAATATATACAGATGTAAGGGAATTTGTTATTTCTAAATTAGATTTCAATTCCAGTGAATATTATGAGCTTAATGATTGGCAAAATTGCTGAGTTACAGCACCATCTCTTATAAGTACTGCAACTGATGGATATATCAGAGAATTTATAAATGATACAGAAACTTGTCCTGTACATTTTTTTTGTCCTTTCCCTGCCATACACAGGCAGTAGAGAGATGCCTGAAGGTTGTAACAGACGCTTCCAATTCTGTTGTCCACCATGACTCTAGAGATGGATTTATTCATACAAGGATTCATTCTAGAATCACATTACCTTGATTTAACACTAATGCGGAATACAGTCCATGAATTTCATATACCTTATTTTTGGTTTTCTCGTCTTTGTTATATTATTAAGTTGCATTTGCTTTCGTTTATGAACAAAACATATTTAAATTGTTTATTTTCATTTTTATTAAAATATTTACAAAAGTGATACTACTTCATTTATTACTCTGTTTTATTAGATTGTTCGGGAAAATAGGAAAATTCAATAAGATGTAGAGCCCTGAAGATGACATTTTTAAATCAAATAAAAATAGCGCGATAATCATTCTTACATTTAGCAACTTTTCCTTACTATTACGTTTCGAAAATGAAATAAGAAATATTTTCTTTCAGTTTCATTCCACCCTAATGAGCATCCTGTATATTGTCACACTTGAAGTATAGCTTAAAAAGAGGTTTTATTATTTATGCCATTTGAATGAGTTTAGATATTTTCGGACCCGGACATTTTTTAACTGATGAACAGTAATAAGTCCAAAATATGTAACTCCACCCACCACCAAGTAAATAATGGAAATCGTCATTTCTGATACACTGAAAGGATCCTAAATCCATAGATTCACACCGTCGATCTCGCCCATATCAGTGCTCGGTAAGGTCCTTGAACAGAATTTGGGACTTATACAGTCATTCTTTTTTATGTTCAAAAAGCAATTGACCAAGTTTATGCCTTGTGTCAAAAGTTGATAATTCATTTCAATTTATATGTGTCAACGAGAAAGTATATTTGAATTTTTAATTATCTTTTATCTTGGACAACCGATGTACTAATTGCCTATTAATATTCTTAATGACTGTCTGATTTTATAAGGTAAGCTTTTATACCGATATATTGTTGAAAATATATATTTTGTACAAGAATTTCTAATTAAAATGTTAAATTTTAAACATAACCTCAACACATTGGATAACACATGATAAAACGTTTTATATAATTTTATCTATTATTTTGTTAGGAAAGAGATAATAAGCTTTACTATATTTAAATATGTTAAATAAGATTTTTCTTTTCATATTAATTTTGGTCTATGTGAAGCTATTCATTTAATACTTTAAATTATTCATTTAATAGTAGAAGAATTTTATCTGTTTCCTTTATAAACTTCCTAGTCCCTTTCTTGATATTTTTATCTTTTTCCTTGTAGCCTGGCTGTATCTAGACGGTTCTGTAGGAGTTATATCTAAAGCAATTGTTTAGATGTTTAGAAGTTTAGAAGAAAGTTCAAGCTACATGTTTAAAAGTATAGAAACTTAGAAGTTTAGTTCCAGCTACAGAAGTTTATTTCAAGTATATCAAGAGGTTTAGTTCGAGTCATCTAAAGAAGTTAATGAGATTTAAGTTTACCTATAAAGATTTATACTTAAGAGTTGGTGATATCCGAAGTATATCATACGAATCCCCTTGAAGAAGGCCTCTACAAGTCTCTCCTTAAATACTACCTCTTGTTCACAGATAAGTATTTTGATAATAAATCATTTAAATTTGAATAGGAGAGTCTCTGTGTATTAGAATTTGTCACTACCTTATCTGAAACCTTATTTAATTATAATATCTTAATGGTTAGTGATTTTCTATATTTTTATCATTAATCGATAGTCAAGTTTAGTAAGTTTTAAATATAGTGGTGCTCAACATTCTTTTTCAAAGTAATTCGAGTTGTTTAATAACCTGACCCACTCCCCAAAATAATAAGAGCTTAAAACACTATAAAAATAGATAAAATAAGAAGATCACATTACAAAGAATGTTGGGATTAGAGTGGGAAATTGCTTAGAAATCCAAAATCTCAGTTAATTTTAACTGTAACATTTTCAATATACTTATTAAATGTATAAAGCTATCCCAAGCTAGTTACAATTCTCAAAAACTAGAGCTGATACCAAAAATTGTTAGGTGTTTTCAGAATCTTAACACATTAAAAATATCCAAAATTATTTCTTACTTCTTTACACCAAGACAGTAAGTTTGTTTGGCGTATTATGAATAATATTATTGTTATTATAAATTCTATCATGGATATGAAATAAAAACAACAATAAATATAACCAAAACTGCATTGTTTTAATAACCTAATTTAAAATTCTTTTAATTTATGTTGCAATAATAACATTTTCATAATACTATTAATTAAAAGAATTCTAAAACTTAAAATACCTAGAGCAAACTTTAATCCAATAGTCCTTTGTTCCTTCACTTTAGACGCTTTTTATGTAATGTTTCATTTTTACACACGTACTGAGCAAATGAAAGTTTGTAAATTAATTTAACATGAAAATTACTTTATGAAAAACTCTCTTGGGGAAAGAGGTAAAAAATGATGCTTGTTGCATATATGCGACGGGCCTTTGATCTGAAACGTTTTTTTATACTAAAAGGAAGTCGAAGGCCTTTGGCGCGGATAAATTGATGTGTTTTAGTTTCAGCGCTGTAGTTGAATGAAATTGCAAACGTTTTAATGTAAAAACAAGTGGTACGGAATGTGTGAAATGCCTACTTTCTGTGTGTATTTTCTAATAAAACAGTTTGTAGAAAGGTAGGGTTTAAACCTGAAATACAACTACGAAGATGGTTGGTAAAGTTTCAAACAGCGGAAGACTATTAGTCTATCGTCCTAGAAACTCATTTTTTAAAGAGAATAATGCATTGATATTACTAATATTGTTAGTTTTTGCGTCAATGTTTGCGATTAATACCAGATCTTCTGTATATCGAAGATAACTAAATCTTAAAGGTTGTAGATTTCGCACATTTCTTTTTTATTCTTTTCACAATTTTGTCTATAGTTATGATAAAAACGAAATGGGCATGTACTGTCTCCCTGTTTTTTCTTTTAAATTCCTCCGATTTTTGTTATGTATTTTCCTATTTTCTATTTTCTCGAATAGTCTAATAAAATAGAGTAATAAATAAAATAGTATCACTTTTGCAAATATTTTAATAAAAATAAAAATAAACAATTTAAATATGTTTTGTTTATAAACGAAACCGAGTACAACTTAACAATATAACATAGACGAGCAAACAAAAAAAAGTAAATAAAATTCATGCATTATGTATTCGGCCTTAGTATTAAATCGAGGTAGTGTGGTTCTAGAATGAATCCTTGCACGAACAAATCCATTTCTAGAGTCATGGCCGACAACAGAATTAAAAGCTTTTGTTAAAACCTTGACGAACCTCTCTACTGGTTGTGTATGGCAGGGAAAGTACAAAAAATCTAGAGGACAAGAAGTTTCTGTATCGTTTATAAATTCTGATATATCCATCAGTACTTAAAAGAGATAATGCTGTAACTGAGCAATTTTGCCAATCAATAAGCTTATAATATTCACTGGCATCGAAATATAATTAAGGAATAACAAATTCCCTTACGTCTGTAAATATTTTTGTGCGCGCCTTCAATATTCTTCGTAAGCCAAATTGTCTTATAGCAAGCATTGCTAGAAGATGACAAAAATACGCATTCCGTTTGATAACAGGATCGATGACTGCCTTCATTTCGTTGTTCAAATAGCGTGACAACTGTATCATTCTAAAGAGGTATCTTCCTTCAACACTACATAATGGTTTTCTTTTAATGTCAAACCACATTGGCGCATAAACTTTTATCATAAATTCAGCGATTGTTCTTAAATTTGTAAATGGACATTAACTTCCGGTGTAAAGACGAAATATACGGTTTGCCTTTGTAAGCCATCGAGCGTGTGATAATTTACTGGATTACGAGCTGCTAGATACGAGTATAATGAACAGTTTTCTCTATAAATTAAGTGACACATTTCATATAAGTTCTTTTGATCAGTGCTCAGATTCCTTATAGCTGCAGCGTCCAATTCTAGTAAAGGGTAAACAATAGGAACAAAATTTACAACGGGCAATTTTTCCCAAGACTCCAACATTTTTTCTATAGCTCCAGAGTATATACGACTTCCTGAAGTTTCTTCGTTAAGATATTGAAAAATATGATGATCTGTAGCTGACATATCATCCACTGCAGAGGACGTTTTAGTTTTATTTCTAAATGCTGCAAAACTCCATTCTTCCTTCCTGTATTAACCGCTGTACCATCGCAGCCTACTACTAAAAGCTTATTTGTACTGTAACATTTTTGTAGAAAATTAACTATAGATATAGCAATTTGTTTGCCCGTACCTGTTGTTGGTGTAATGTGACATATATTTTAAACCTGGTTCTTTGAGCAATGATATATGTTCTTCGATTTTTATTTTTCTAATTTCTTCCTGGCACATCGTTTTATCCCTTCTTTCATCCAAGTATAATGCTCTCATCTCCAGAGTGGTGTTTTTGACGAGCTCTTCGGACCTTACTTCGGTCAATAACTGAAGACGATGCTTATTTTGAAATAGGTCTCAAATCCTGTAATACAGTAGATGCAAGCGCTGCTGCTAAACGGTCCAAAATGCCAAACTGGTCAGAAATACAAGCTAGGTTGGGAATAGGCAACCTCCTTTACTGGCTTGTACTGCAACCTGATGATGATGGAAGCTCCGACTTAGCTTCTTGTTCTACTATTACCTAGGAAGACTTAAATTCAAAGTCAAAGGAGGACATGATCAAGAACTTGCCGAAAAGGTGAATAACTCAGGCACAAGTAGGGAAGAGGAAACCTCTACAAAGGAAGAAACCCTGGCAGAGGACGACGGGGTGAAGTCTTCCCACAATAGGGAAGAAAACACCAACGACTTATATTCAGAGGAAGAAACCTTGGTAGAGGACGACGAGGTGGAGTCTTCCTACAGTAGGGTCAGTCCCCTTAAGAGGCAAGAAGCCCAAGAGGTGAGTATACCTATGGAAATTGGAGAGGCCTCTAAGAAGGCAGACAGAGGGTCTAGATTTGGCCCTTTCGCAAGAACCCTGGTTACATGACGGGAGGGTAGCAGGCCCAGAACTCAACCAAGGTAAAATTGTGTATAAAAAAAGGTCTGAAAGACCACGATCATGTTTCTTATATAACAATAGGGTAAATTGTGTACTAATACCGGTGCTGTGCACCGCTGATATTGTTACAGCTCTCCTAACTACACCTACAAAGCAAGGCACAAAAAGATAGCTAGTCTGTTCTGCATATTTCCCAGGCGAGAAGCTATGTCCTCCGCATATAATAGTCGAAATGTGCGGCAAGGGCTAACCTCCGAATAATTATGGGATGCGATGACAATGCCCATCATACCATCTGGGAAAGAACTGAAATCAATAAAAGAGGTGAGTCATTATTACAATTCATCTTTTATGAAGGTTTAGTAATTGCTAATATAGGTAACAAACCAACGTTCGTCACGGCAACGAAAAAAGAAGTGCTAGATATGCTCGAGTAAAGCAAGTGATAACATTTCAAAGTGGCATGTGTCAAACGAACCATCGTGCTCAGACCACAGACAGATTAGATTTGTACTAATTACCCCACATCGAATTTCAACCAAATACAGAAACCCTAGAGAGACGAACTGGGAACGGTATTCAACAAGTACCTCGAAGAGGGTATGGTGGAAATAACGGGTGTACAAAGTCTTGACCGAGCAGCAGACCAAGTAAGTAAGGCCATTATAACCGCTTACGAGGAAAAGTGTCCGTAGAAAACAAGGCAGCAAAGAACAAAAACAGTCTGGTGGAACAAACACTTGGAATGCCTTAGAGGCGAAGTGGGAAGACTATTTAATTAAGCCAAGTCAACCGAAGACTGGACCCTATATAAGGCTAAACTAACGCAGTACAGCAAGGATATAAGAAAGGCTAAAAGGCAATCATGGAGGAAACACTGACATGCTCTAAAATCCTCAAAGTCCTAGATAAAGAGGGTACTGAGAAACCAAGTAGGATTTCTCAGGAAAGATGATGAAACCTACACCAAAACCTTCGAGGAAACGTTAACAATGCTCACAGAAGAATTTTGCTAGACCCAATAGTAGCATACAGCCCTCAAAGAAGGCCTCGTAGGCAAACTCTTTTGGAACGGAGGCTAGCTACAGAAATATCGAGGCCCAACAAAATTAGATGGGCTACAAACAAATTTCAACCATACAAATCCCAAGGAGTAGATGGAATATTCTACTACAAAAGGAACAGGAAACTTTAATTTCACATATGTGTCGCATATTTAAAGCATGTATAGCCTGGCAACATATACCAAAGGCGTGGCAAAAGGTGAAAGTCATATGCCTTCCTAAAGTGGGAAGGTTTAATGATATGACACCAAAGTCATACCGCCCAATCAGTCTATCGTTATTTATGCTGAAAACGCTAGAAAGACTAATAAATAGATATATACGAGACGAAATACTGAGAGAAAACCTTCCAAGCGACCGTCAATATGCATATCAGCCAGGCAATTCAACCGATTTGGCCCTGAATGATCTCAACAGGCTACTGTCAAAATCCCTGGAGGATAAAGAAATGGCAGTAGCAACTTTCGTAGATATTGAGGGAGTTTTTAGTAATGCCCAAACAAGATCTATACTTAATGCCCTAACAATGAAAGGGGTACCAGTAGTCCCATGTCAGTAAATAAGAGCCAGCCTAGAAGAATGGGTAATAACATCATCTCTAGGCGAAGCTACACTGACAGCTAAAGCAGGCAGGGGCTGTCCCCAGTGGACGAACTCATAAAAAGGCTAATATCTGCAGATTTCTACTGCCTAGGGTATGCCGATGACCTGACGTTTGTTGTAAGAGGCAAGTTCGCAGGTACAATATCGGAGCGCACGCAAACCGTTCTAAACATTGTTGACGAGTGGTACAGAGAGAAGGAACTAACAGTAAATCCTTACAAAACCACAATAGTCAACTTTACAAAACGAAAAGTATCGACAGTACTAAAGTGACCAGTACTGAAAGAAGTGAAGATTCCATTTGCTCAAGAGGCCAAATAATTTGGAGTCATCTTTGATCACAGGTTAACATGGAATCAACACTTGCAAAAAGTCGCTAACATCTTTCAACTTATGTCGAAGGTTGTGTGGAAAAAATTGAGGACTACAAACGAAAATGTTTCTATGGTTATATACCAGAGTCATAAGGCCGATGATAACCTACGTGTCGGTGGTATGGTGGCCAAAGACTCGACAAGCTGGAGTCATTCGACAGCTTAATGGTATTCAAAGGCAACGACTCCAACAGCAGTATAGAAGTCATGCTAAACCTAATACCACTACATATATTCATTTAAGGCGAACCTAGGTCTGTCACATACAGACTGCTCAATGATTCATCACTCATAAGCAGTTTGCATAGACGTGACTACAGCGAGCTATATAAAGAGTTGGAGAACGACCAAATAATGGGAATGCCTTCAGATGAAATGCTCCCAAAGTATAGCTTTCAAAAGCAATATAAAATAACCTTCCTATTCATGTAGAATTCACCTGGTATACAGACGGCTCCAAAACACATGAAGGTTCAGGAGTAGGTATATATAGTACCAAGCCAAAGACAATAATCTCACTGAGCTTAGGTAACATGCGACAGTATTCCAATCAGAAATAGCAGTAATACATCACTGCGTAAAAGAGGTATTAAGACAGAAGGTAAATGGAAAAACTATTGCCATATACTCAGACAGTCAAGCTACGTTAAAGACACTCAGTTCCATACAGGTACACTCAAAGCTTATGTAGGACTGTTTGGAAGCCCTAACAGAGCTGGGTTGTCAAAACAGACTAACCTTGGCCTAGGTACCAGGCCACAGAGGACATAAGGGCAATGAAGAGGCTGATTTACTAGCCCAAGAAGGAGCCTCAAATGCTCTAATTGGTCCAGAACCCTTCTGTGGTGTAACAAAAACAACTATCAGAACATGCACAAAGCAGTGGATGTTTAAAAAATCTCAGGAGTGGTGGAAAAACTCTCCACGACAGAGACAGGCCAAAGAGTTCTTAAAAGGACCATCGCCTAAACTCACCGAGCAACTACTAAGCCTTAATTGGAAAATTATGTATAATATCGGTCTGACAAAAGAGAACTTGTTCCGATTTTGTCAGGAAGAGGAGGAAACGGCAGTACACGTATTGTGCTACTGCGAAGGTCTAGCAAGACTGAAATTTCTTACACTTGGAAAAGAAAAACCAAGGGCAACTAGCTATACCGGAGAACTACTTCCCAGTCTATGGAGTCTACCACAAAAGGCCGAATCAGACAAGGGTCTCTAAATAACGATTTAAGGATATCCACAATAGATCTGAAAAGGTCGAGGTGGGGGAGGCCACATGGCCCACAGTCCTAATTAAATCTAATCTAATCTAGCTTCTTGTTTTTCTGTCAAATTCTCAAGCTCTTCAGACTCAGATAAATAAGAAATACTGTCTCGCTCAAAGTTTTCAATATTGTTATCTATTTCAAACTTAAAAAGAAGCTGATTTACATTAATTTTTCTTCTTTCTTCAGCTTTTAATTTATTTGTTTCAGTAACGTCTATTAGTCCAATAACAAATTTTCTCACAGTTCGTTGATCGTGAATAAATTTTTGTTCTATATTTGGTATTTTGCGTTTTTTAGCACAGCCACATGTATCAAAAGAAGCACATTTACATGCAGTAATATCGAATAATTTCTTTGAATCGTCTTTATATTTATCAACTTTTAACTTATAATTATTGTCATTTCGTTTAGTTTTAGGGTACTTACACAGAATATCTCAAATTAATTGTATAATGTGATTTTTTGATATAGTGGGAATTGAAGCTTTTCCTCAGATCACTTCGATTTCATTCGCAAGAATTTAAGAAAATTCTAAAATACTAGGGTCTTTACCGGAACTCAAAACCTTTAGTTCATTTCGAATAAGCAAATATCGCTTCATGATATTTTCCACAGTTGGCAAAACATTAGAGGGCATATTCGCTGGTGCACCAAATATAGGATAATTAATAGCTCCCCTACTGCCCCTAGTATCCTTCACTGACAAACTCATTACAACTTAAAACAAAGATCTTACTTTCGCGACTATCAAAAGAAGACTGAGTTCAGCTTAGAGCTACACAATTCACCGTGCATAAACGATTGTAATCTGGTCTTAACTGGATTGAACAAGTTTGAAGAGTTTCGTGACATAATATTTGGGATTTCTTGGATTTGTTTATTAATGTTAAAGTTTGATTTCAGGCACTTGTAAATAGGTACATTTGATTTAAGGTAGAGGCTTGAAGACATATTTATTTTTACCTGAAATCTTAGGAAATAGTTTTAGATTGTATTAAAAGTTAAAAATTATATTTTTTGTTGTTTAAATTTTTTTTTTTTAATTGAAATTTTCTTGGGTATTTTATAGTAAAAATTA